AGGGGGGCCAGACTGGGCTGCGCCTCCTCCCCCCACTCCCCTTACCTGCTTCAGGCTTCCCGCGAATCAAATGTTCGCGGGAAGCAGGGGAGGGGGCGGAGTTGGGGCGGGGACTTTGGGGAAGGGGTGGAGTTGGGGCGAGGCCCCGTGGAGTGTCCTCCTTTTGGACACTCAAAATATGGTAACCCTAGGTTTAGCGCATTCTCAGCCATCGATTAGCTACGGTTCCTTTATCAGCGGCGGGACCTGCTGGGGTGATGGAGGGAACTGGGCCAGGAAGGAGTCCCGATTTATAGGTACCGTTTGCTCAGGGGCACCTGGCTGGTGCCTCCCACCTGGCTGAGTCTCTGCAAGGGCCCAGGGTCCCTGGGGTCACGTGGGGATGTAAAAGGCACTGGTGGGTGGGTCTCTGCCAAGCTGTGCCCTCTGAGGGTCGCAGAATGAGACGCAGCTGTTGGCAGGGTCTGCAAACGATCAAACCATCGTGTGTGCTCTGCTGGGCTCAGCTCCCCCACCCCTCCTGGCGGGGCTCAGGGCCCCCACTGGGCTCCGTGGCCTTGACCTCTTCACTGGGGAGAAGACTATTGGGCTGCAAGTCCCCAGGCGTGTCTGCTCCTTCACCCAGGGCTGCGCTGTGTCTGGGGACTCACTCCCCTGCAACAGGAGTTCAGTCCCCCCCTTTCCACCCGTAACCCGTCTGCCAGGGGGTGTCGGCAACAGCAAGGGCCGGGTTCGATGTCTGGGGGTTCCTCTGAACAGCACAACACAGAACCAGCTCCAGCCCCCACCCAGGAATCCAGGAAAACCAAACCTCACCCCTGGGGGCCTCCGAGGGAATATTCCCCCACTCACAAGCACTGAGAGTGTCTGACAAACAAACCCTCGTTACAAGGGAGAGGGGACTCAGCATTCACTTGGGAAAACACCACAAGGATTCCAAAGCCTGCAAACCCTGAGCAAACACCCACCCCACAGATTGCTGGGCAGTGCCCTTTGCAAGGCGGGAAACTGAGGGAATGTTAAATGTAAAGAGAGGATGTCCCTGTAACATGCTGCTCCCCTGTTTCTCCACGGCACCCCACTCACGGTTAGTTGTCCAAGAGCAGCAACATCCCAGCATCCAGAACACATTACGCACAGTTCTGCTGCCCTGTACTCACACAATCAGCCCGACAACACTTCAGTGCCCCACAGCACAGACTAAAGCGAGTTTTAACCCACAGCAGCCCGAACAGGTCGCTGTGGCAGAGTAGGGGTGTCTGGGAAATATGGCCTGCTCCTGGGGTCTCATGCCCAGTTCGTCGCCAGCTGGCAGAGCAGAGCTGCTCAGACCCTGCGTCACACACAGGCTCCATCACACCCGTATGTCACTGAGCGTGTCGCGGGGTCTCCAGCAGTTATAAGGAGAGTGAACCAGACACACAGCGCAGAGTAACTCTCCGGGAAGGGGGTTCACCTGCAGGGGATCCTGGCTTGGGCTAAAACCCCAGCCCCATTCTCACTGCTGTCTACCCCCAGCCCAGCCGCAGGTGTCCGGGATCCAGGTGTTACCGCACTGGGAGCCCCGGGATCAGGTTCCGTTTGCCGTCCAGATCCAGAACTTTTACCCCAGGGAGATTCACCGGATCCAGTGGGACTGTGATGGGGCAGAGAGCAGGAGAGACGAGAGTTCAGAAATCACCCAGAACCCGGATCTCACGTTCAGTGCTACCAGTGTCTGGAGACTCCCCAGTGACCAAATCATCCGTCCAGAATTTACAGTCACCGTGTCCGTTCAGCAAACCCCTCAAAGCCCCGCAATCGAGAGAGAGATCAGAGCCGGGGACACAGGTGAGGAGGCTCCCTGTGTTGTACTTAAAGTACTGCACAGGATCTTTTCAGGGGGAATAAGGCAAAATGCCACATTTA